TTCACCTTTCTCTCCCACAAAATTCAAACATGTTTTCCTTCTAGATAATTTGGTGCATTATGATCCTTTTCTGTCCTTGTGTCTTTTGGGTTGTAACCTTTTAACAGCAAGGGTTATGTCTTCATTGGTATTTTTATAGTTGCTGGAAGCACTCCGGTAGTGGCTGGAGGTTTTTAATGACAGCATTACAGAACTTAATATCACTGTACTACCATTGAAACCAATATCTGTAATAAATGATATGAAAACTTTGGTCATGTATTCTGGGCCACACGAAACCAGTAAACAAAATTGTACATCAGATGTTATTAAAACTATTTTTATTAAAACCAAATTCTGTGTCTCTACAATTCTCAGAGTAGGGCACAATGAGGTCATTGGGGTATGTCGGACAGGAATTGATGCTGAAGGGCTTGGAAGAGATCACTGGAATGAAATGTTGGCTTACCCACGTAAACCAATAACCCACTGGCATCCACTAGTAGAGGTAAGATGTGGCAAAATTTTCTCCTTCTCAATATATTGATTTTTTTTTTCTCTCACACTTATGTGCTTCTGAGAATCATGAAAATCTGTGCAGCATCTATAGATCAGCATAACCTGAATCTGCTTACATGGGTTTACTGATTACTTAAAAGGGCTGTTTCAAAAGTTTCTGTGATGGTCTGACAGCATTGTAAGATTAAAATTAAGACATTTAAAATTTTCAGGGATTATGATAAGGAGCTTACATCTCCTTAGAAGAGATCATTTGCAAGAATTTCAAAAGCAGTCATTTCCTATTCAAAAGTCTTTAGCATGAACAGTTGTTGCTAAAACATCAATCTGAAACTGGCCTGCAAATTAGGTTAAATTAAGGCAACATGCCAGCAGCTCCCTCCAGAGTTATTCAACAGACATGTATTAGAAGGTTATTCAAATGTATGGGTTATTATATCTACAATTCCCTGGGCTTGGACTCTCTCTTCAACCTGCTGTGGCCAATTGCTGGTGTTCTGTATACAAAATGCCCACAGTTTTAGATTCAGAAAGATACATATTGAAGCCTTAAGAAGCTGAAGGCCCTGCTTTGGGACACAGAGGACACACTGTTTAGTCTGTCACAAAAGCAATCTCTAAAAAAGTGAGTTGCTGTCTGAGGCACCACAGGCCATTCAGCTTCCCCATTCTGTAGCATATGGCTGCACAATCTGTCCTGTGACAGGTAGCAAAAATGTAACATCAAGGATTCAGTAAAACACCTAAAGAAGAGCTTGGGGGCAAAGAAACTGAGTAAATGTCTTTTAGAGGTTCATGACTCTCTCTGGATTTTCTAAGTTTGAAGACAGAGGTACCAGTACCACCCCTGATTAGTGAATAAACCCACTCCTGTAAAATGAGTCAGAGGTCACTTAAGAAATTTTCTTTCCATTATTAGTTCTGCTGGGATTTTGATGCTGGAGACTTTTTGATCCAGAGACTAAAAAGGGTGTAGATGTGATCCAGATTCTGTTTTGAGAGAGTCTCTCATCTTCTGAAATGAGTGTGATGCACAGCCAGATATAGTTACATTTGTAAAAATAACGTTTTTCTTGCAGCTACCTGGCAGAGCAACCAGTTTTGACAGCCAAGGATCCTGTTCATCACCAAAACCACCGCTTACACCCTAGAGAACAAGAGTAGATTCATCATGTTCAGTGTCCAAAGCTCCATTGTAGCTCACATCTACATAAAAAGAAGGTTTGGCTTCCTCAGATGAACTGTATCCTTATTTTTTTATTAAAATACATTTTTCCTATTATAAGTCTTATATTACAGTTTATAATAATTTCTTAATGTATGAATGAAGTTGACCTGAGTCAAATATAACCCTTCCTCATGCAAATTCATTCACCTGTTTTATCGCTGACGCATATCCAGTGTCATATCCAAGCAGTGTTCTGATACAACATGTATCTGCACAGACAAAGAAATCAGAAAAAAAAATCACTTAACTCAAAACTACTGCAGCTTGTAATGCCTAATTCTTTTGAGGGAGAGCAAATAGTCATATATAGCTCACATAGCAAATGTCTTCTAAATTGCACTAAATCCTGTATGAGTTCACAAGATAGCGCTTCAAACTGAATGTTGCATGAGAAATACAACTGTTGTCATGTCTTGAGTGTTTGGAAAATCAGTTCATTCCTTGGGCAGGGAGGAAGGGCAAATCAAATTCCCACTGAAGCCAATGAGAAAGGTCCACTGGTCTCATTGGGTTTTAGTTCAGCCTTTATGGAACAGGTATCAGAACCAGATCTATGCAGTTATAATCTTCCAGCAATCCCAATGCCAACTGCCCCTACAGGAACTGTTAGCCTGTCCAGCAAAACAACCAGGCACGGGGCTGTCCTCAGCAGCTGCTTTGCTTCAGCTACCCACAAGCTGATGAAGAGCTAGCTCAGATGTCTCTGTGTGGTACTGAGCAGCACTTGCACAGGAATCATTGTGGAAAGCTAATGTCTCTGCTGTGAGTTGTGTGGAAGTTGATGCAGCTCCACAGGAATGTGGTGTCTCCTGATGAGGCGCATCCAGCCCCTCGAAACAGCTCATTTGCTGCTGCCATCATGCAGTCCTTACTTGGTCTACACAGGTCAAACTTCAGAGAAGACAATGCTCTGAAGTAAAGGAATTGATTTAATGTACTTTATTTCGAAAATTGACCAAAATCTGCAGTACGCACAACTTTTTCTAATTCTTGACCTAATGTAGCAAATTTATATTTTTTGCAGTTGTTTTCACTGAGTGCATAGTGCAAGTGGAAAAGTTTGTAGTCACTGGCTGGATGCCTCTAGAATTATATGCTAAATATGAATTTGAGATAAGTTTTCTGCCAGTATATGGAGAAAGAAATTGAAATATAATAATCTTATAAACTAGTAAACTCATTTATTAGAATACACAGTGACAGCAAATACAAAATACTATTGGCTGTAGTCAGATGTTTAAAAAACTAGAAGAGAACTACTTATTATTTTGTGGACTTATCTCTTTTAAACACTGTGGTTTACCTCAGTGCTTAAATCAGATAGTTATTTCCTTTTTTTCTTTCATTTTTTTCTGTGAAGAGCATGGCAAAGACTGCATGAGTTGGTCTGACCTTTTGAAATACGGACTATAACTAGAGAAAAACTGAGGTGGTGGCACTTTTTGAATCTGTGCAATATATAGAGAAAACTGAGACAGTGTTTACCAAAACAGGATTTTTACAGAAGTGTCATACACAAGAAAAATGCCAATGGAAGATTGGTTTACAATAGTGAAATTGATTTTAGAATTAATCTAGGTACGAAGGGAAAAGGCAGTTTGACAAACTCTGAAGAACCATTTTGAGTTGGTTTAACCTGTTTGACACTGCATATGTTTATGAAGATCCAGTCCTTCCATTCCACTAATTGCTAGGACAGGCAAACATGCCTTGAAGTGTCTTAACTCCACCAGGAAAGTTAGGAAGGCTGGTCTTAATATTACAGGGATATCTGAGTCAAAACAAAGGAGGCAGGTTTTATAGCTTGCCTTCTGTGCCTGCAAACACAGCAAGCAAACAAACAGATACATAAATTGATCTTTCAGACAATCTTTGCAAAATGAAAAAAAAGAAAAAGAAAAAGAAAAGAAAAAGAAAAAGAAAAAGAAAAAGAAAAGCCTCCAGCCCAAGCTTTGGAATATCTGTTTCAGATTGCTGTTTGCTATTCAGGGCCTCTAAGGCAGAAGTGGTTTCTCCCAGAGAATGTAATGCTGAGCACTGATCCTCCCTGCTTAAGATTGTATTTTCATCACCATAAATACAGTGGGGCCTTGCAGAATTTCAATCCTCCATTTGCTCTGGGTGAGTAATTTTTTTAATAGCAGAACAAGCTCTCTATGAGGTTCTTTCCTCCCATCATTGTCATCATAATGAAATTCTGTGGCCTGTCATTTTCAACATGATTTTGCAAGGT